ATGGCTACATTTTTCACATTGTCATAAGATTAATTTATATAAGTACATTTTTTTATTATTTTGCCTTAAATTATACAATATTTATCCATCAAATTCCTAGAAAAGCATCTTCAAAATTCTAGGATTTATTAACATTTGAGCATTTACTGCCAATTTTTTAAAAAACAAATCATAGAAATTTAAAACATCGCAACATTGTTTACATTGTCATGAGATTATTCTATATTTTTTATATTTTTTAGTAAATTTATTTATTATTTATTCTTCAAGTCTCTAAGCTTTTTAAAATATTTTTTAATGAACAGTAGAAAATAAATTTCCAAAACTTTGTACCTTTGTTCAAAGAATTTTAAAAACTGTTAGATATTTATTGATATAGACCCAAACTACAAATTTTGATTGCCCTGAATCAAGTTTTTCAATCTGCTAAGTTTCCCATCCTCCAAAACCCATCACCCTGTATGCACCTCCCGCTCTAAAAAAACAATCAAACGTCGCAACGTTCAAATATTTGCACAATCCAGCGTTCTCCGTTTGCTTTGCATAATCGCGTCACAATTGCAGAGGCAAACAGCGACACTGCAAAAAATCGCGTCGCCATTTTTTCCGCCATATGCATCCAGCAAAAACGCGCCTCAAAGCCGTAATGACTTGTCATCTTCGCCTCACTACCCATTATGGAATGCCACAATTATCGCACGGTCCGCGGCAATTAACCGTTTCGTAACGACAGCACAGCGCCCGTTTTTTCGCGCAGGCCACTGTACACCTTTGTGCTGTAACGTGAAAAAATAGGGGATCGGTTTTCTCGTTTTTGGTACTGGAAGAATACTCTACACGGTTGAATAGAATCCAACTCACTCGCTGCAGTGTTGTCCAGCATTCTTCGAGAGTCCTTTCGGAGATGGCCGAGGAGGTCGAGTTCCTCTGCAGTTGGTTAAAGTCCGGCAGCGTTAGTTGGGAAAGCAACTGTTTAGTATACATTAGTACATTTCCAACAGAGACCAAAGAAGACGGACACAACACCATAAAAAATTAAAAAAAAAAACGAACGAAACAAGGAAAGTGGTGACGGTTCGAGGAAATTCTGTATCAGATAACTTATCATTAATTTTGACACATTGTCTTGTGTGACTCAAGTAGGATAACCAACTGTGCACTGTCACTATCTACAATTAAACTAGGTAATTACATTTTTCAGAAAATTTCCTCGACCCGTCTTAGGACGAAAACAAGGCGAAAACGAACCAAAAACCCCAAATTCAAAATTGAAAAAGCGTGCGGGCAGCGCGGACGCGCACCACGTGGGTGCCGGCGTCTTGGCGCGTCGATAAAAACCTTGAGACGTCGCCGAGGAGAGGGCGCCACCGTCCAATTAAAACGGCGCGTTTTTGGCGCCCGAAATGATCGGCTAATCGGCGTTCTTACTTAAATTATAACCCTTCCGATCGAAGACAATGCGTACTAAAATGTTGAGCATATGTTGCCGACATATGTTCGGTATTTTTTTAAAACAGTGACTGTATGTAATTAAAGTCGCTCTCCGTCTCGGTTCATACTCAATACGGCTAATAAATACTTCCCGATAAGTGTGTAATTAATTTCGAGCGCAGAATGTAGTGGAAGCACAAAAAAATCGTCGGTTATGGAGGAGGAAGAAGTGGACGAAAATAAATTAGGGGGTGTGTGTGTCACTTGTCAAGTAGGCTGTTGCCGGAGGAGCTGTTCAGATATGAAGTGCTTGGTGGATATTTTTGCGGATATTTTTTTTTTAGTTTGTGGAAGAGAAAAAATACTACGAGGCGTCTTTATTTTGCGGTATTTATCTTAAAATTTGTAAAGTTCTTGAGTTGTTGAAGTTCGGTTTTTTTACTTGCGAAATCTGGTAAAACTTTGTGTTGTAGTTCCTTATGAACTAAATAGGTTCGGGTTTGATTTTTTTTATTCAAGTTTCATCTGTGAGTTCTGTTTTTGGCACGTGTATACGTGACTTATGCAAAAAATTTCGAAAAATGTAGTGTTATATTTTTCTTAATTTTTGAGTTTGTTTAATTACAATTCTTGAATAAACAGTACTTCAATTTTGTAATTATTTTCCTCTTTTTCAAATTTTTTCAAATATAAAGGCTTCAACTGACATTTTCAATTTATGGCAACTAGTTTCACTTTATATGAACGTAACTGAAGTGTCAAATTTACAAATTTTCAGATCTCTTTTCAATGATTAAATATTTGGAAAATTTTTAAACTTTTGTTATCCACATTCTGACTAATAATCCAATTCTTATAATACCTAGATTTCAGAATTTAAATTTTCTGCAAACCTAAACTACTATTTTGCCAGCCATGATTAGTGGAAATTCATTAAAGATACATGAAAATGATGATAATGTTTATAATAAAATATTATAAAATGTTTATAATCTTCTTTTTTTTTACTAAATTTTCTAATATGATTAAGAGCTTAAGCTGACATTTCCTGGTAATCTGATCACTTATTGGATTATAACGTTTTATTTTTTACTAACTGTCCAATTTACAATCAATTTATATCAAACAGTTTCACTTTATAGGAACGTAAATGAAGTTTCAAAGCTGCAAATTTTCAAATCACCTTTTAATAATTAAATATCTGGAAAACTTTTAAACTTCTTTTATCCACAGTCTGACTAATAAATCCTGATTCTTATAATATCCAGATTTTTTATTTGAACTTTTCCACTAAACTAAAGACTTGATTTTTTTTAATATTTATGAGTCTTCATTCAAATTTCTTGTTATAATTTTAAATGTTTGTAATTTTCCATTTTTTTCTAAACTTGTAAATTAAATAAAGGTTTGAACTGACATTCCCTGATCACTCATAGGATTTAAAATTTTTAATTTTCAACTAAATGTTCAATTTACAGTCAATTTATAGCAACCAGTTTCAATATTATGGGGCCGTAATTTCAAGCTTCACATCTGTAAATATCCACAATTTCTTTTTAATGATTAATAATCTGGAAAATTTGAAACTTCTTTTATCGGATGTTCTTAATCTTAATCCTTATAATATCTAAATTTCTGAAAATCAAAGACCTATTTTTTTAAAATATGATTGTTGAAACTGTATTCAAATTTCTTGTCATAATTTTAAATGCTTGTAATTTTTCATTTTTTTTTTCTAAACTTGTAAATTAAATAAAAGTTTGAACTGACATTCCCTGATAATCTTAATCTGATCACTCATAGGATTTTAGAATTTTAATTTTCAACTAAATGTTCAATTTACAATCAATTTATAGCAACCAGTTTCAATATTATGGGGCCGTAATTTCAAGCTTCACATTTGTAAATATCCAGAATTTCTTTTTAATGATTAATAATCTGGAAAATTTGAAACTTCTTTTATCGTATGTTCTTAATCTTAATCTTTATAATATCTAAATTTCTGATTTTAAATTTTCCACAAAATCAAAGACCTATTTTTTAAAAATATGATTGTTGAAACTTTATTCAAATTTCTTGTCATAATTTTAAAGGCTTGTAATTTTCCATTTTTTTTTTTTTCTAAACTTGTAAATTAAATAAAAGTTTGAACTGACATTCCCTGATAATCTTAATCTGATCACTCATAGGATTTTAGAATTTTAATTTTCAACTAAATGTTCAATTTACAATCGATTTATAGCAACCAGTTTCAATATTATGGGGCCGTAATTTCAAGCTTCACATCTGTAAATATCCAGAATTTCTTTTTAATGATTAATAATCTGGAAAATTTGAAACTTCTTTTATCGGATGTTCTTAATCTTAATCCTTATAATATCTAAATTTTTGATTTTAAATTTTCCACAAAATCAAAGATCTATTTTTTTAAAATATGATTGTTGAAACTTTATTCAAATTTCTTGTCATAATTTTAAATGCTTGTAATTTTCCATTTTTTTTTTCTAAACTTGCAAATTAAATAAAAGTTTGAACTGACATTACCTGATAATCTTAATCTGATCACTAATAGGATTTTAAAATTTTAATTTGCAACTAAATGTTCAATTTACAATCAATTTATAGCAACCAGTTTCCATATAATGGGGCCGTAATTTCAAGCTTCACATCTGTAAATATCCAGAATTTCGTTTTAATGATTAATAAGCTGGAAAATTTGAAACTTCTTTTATCGGATGTTCTTAATCTTAATCCCTATAATATCTAAATTTCTGATTTTAAATTTTCCACAAAATCAAAGATCTATTTTTTTAAATATGATTGTTGAAGCTTTATTCAGATTTCTTGTCATAATTTTAAATGCTTGTAATTTTCCATTTTTTTTTTCTAAACTTGTAGATTAAATAAAGGTTTAAACTGACATTCCCTGATAATCTTAATCTGCTCACTCATAGGATTTTAGAATTTTAATTTTCAACTAAATGTTCAATTTACAATCAATTTATAGCAACCAGTTTCAATGGAGCCGTAATTTCAAGCTTCAGGTCTGTAAATATCCACAATTTCTTTTTAATGATTAATAATATGAAAAATTTGAAACTCCTTTTATCGGAAGTTTGCTTAATCTTAGTCCTTATAGGTAATATCTAAATTTTTGATTTTAAATTTTTCACAAAATGAAAGACCTAATTTTTTAAAATAGATTGTTCAAATTTTATTCAGATTTCTTGTAATAATTTTAAATGCTTGTAACTTTTCATTTTTTTTTTCAAAAATTCTAAATATGATAGGGGCTTTTTCTGTTAGAAGTCTGCTTAATCCTAATCCTCACAATATCGGAATTTCTGTTTTTAAATCTTACACCAAGCAAAGAACTTCTTTTTTGCAAAGATTCCATATATTAATATTTAATGCAAAAGTCCTCATTTTTCCAAGACAACAATTTCAAGTCACTCCATCTCCTTCACCTCTTCGCCACCAGCCTACTCTTCACCCACACCCACCCCAACCAAAAACCCCAAAACCCAACCCCCACCCCCATGCGAAAATCAAAATCGGACAACACCTACCTGCAAATCATTCACCAACTTCTCCGCCATCTTGTCCGGCGAATTCTGCCCTCCCGACAGCTGGTGCTGCTGCGACATGCTATGCACCAGCTGCTGCTGAGCCTGCACCTGAGCCAGAGCGTGAGCGTGGGCCTGAGCCACCTGAGAGTGCGAGTTGGGGCTGCCCAGTTGCTGCTGCTGTTGGTTTTGCTGCTGCTGCTGGCCCTGCTGTTGCTGCTGGCCCTGCTGCTGCTGCCCGTTGCTCTGGCCCTGCGCCACCGCGTTCTGCTGCTGTTGTTGTTGCTGCTGCTGCTGCGCGTTCTGCTGGCTGTTCTGCTGCTGCTGCTGGTTCTGCTGGTTCTGCAGGGCCAGCGCGCCCTGCGTGATGACGTGGTTCTGACTGCTGTTGCTCTGCTGCGACGGCGAATGGGCCGGGATGGAGTTCGTGGAGCCAGGCACTGGCGAGTTCTGGTTGGAGTTGGACAGGTTCTGGGCCATGCTCTGAGGGGGCCCCCGGGCCTGGTTCCAGAAGTCGTTGTTCATTTTGAATACGGGCCTGTTGTTGACTTCGGCCATGGGGATCTGGAGGGACAGCGGCGTCGAACGGAGGTCCAGCGCGGCGTTCTCCTGGGCCTTGAATGAGTTCTGGAGCCACTTCGCTACGAGGTTTTCATGTTCGACCTGGGGGACAAGAGTTCGAGGTAGAGTTTGGGGCACTTGTGGAGTTAAGTTATTGCGGAAAAACAATAAAGGAGAATTTGTTTCACTCTACGAAATATAAAAAGTGGATTATAATTTTAATCTACGACAAGTAAACAATGAAACTATAATTTGGTCCATTTGTGAAATTTATTGAAACTATTATAATAATGTTTTAGGATAGTCATGGGCTGTAAGAAATATTGGAATTATTTAAGACAGTCAATGACCTGTCGATAAAATTGTTTCAATTTTAGACTTGCCTCAAGTGTACTTGTTATTTTGAAAAAAATTAAAATTGCGATAACATTCTAACTTTATAAAATATTAAAAATATATTATAGTAAATACGAACCAAGATTAATTTATTACTAAAATTAGTTAGGTATGAGTTGTTTCATTTGTCGAATTTAGTTGATTCTAGAATAATAATTATTATCTTATATAAAAAAATAAATCTATAATTTGGTTCGTTTGTAGAATTCATTGAAACTATCATAATAAATACCACCCCCCTCCACTTCCCCCTCTCCGCGTTCGCCCCCCACTCACCTTGAGATTGTTGATTAGATTTTGGTCCTCCGTGTTGAAAATGTTGACGGTTTTTCGGTTAAAGGCGGAAATAAGTCCCGTTTGTGTAAACGGGTCCTGCTATGACTAAATCGTAAGTAATTTTCCCTAGCTCGTCTTCGGTCTGTCTATTGCACTCGATTTGCGTGTCTCTGTTTGGTTTTTGTCGTGTATGATAGGGTTCGGTTCCTAAGCCGGCTAGATCGGCACTAAGGTCGTACCGACGTATATGTATATGTAGAAAAGGGTGGATCTGCTTCCGTCTCGCTTCCACAATGGGTGCTCTCGGATTTCTTACTTTTTTTACGCGGACGATTGGCAGATGTTTTCTTCCGGATTGTTGTTTCTGTTGCTGCCGACGCGCTCTATTCAATTCCAATCTGAAACAATTAACGTAATGGAATTAATTTTGGGCGTGGAAAAAACGCGTGCAGGGGGAAGACGAAAAAACGGACCATGGGAAGATTTTGCTAACGGTAAAACAATTATCTAGGAGCTGTTTCGGTTGTGGACACCCGTGGGTTATTCGAATTTAGAGTTTGTCCCATTTGTGGAATAATTAACGTGATGGAATGCGGAAAAAACGTGTGTGGAAGAAAAAAAGAACAAAAAACTTTATTAGGAATTTATTACCGATTAGTTTTCGTTCTTTTTTAATCGCTGCGAAAGTAATTAATAAAAATAATCGATATTCGGGCTGTCACTCCTACTTTTTGTATGACTGTTTTAATTTGTGTGATATACTGGGTTTATTTGGTAAAAAAGTCAATACACTAATCAAAATGTGTAGTGACATAAATTAAACGTCCTGAAGAGGCAACAAATCAAATAATGTAGGGTAAATGTGTACAAGAGTACGCACTTAGTGTAAAACTGTCAACAACTTTTTAATTTTTTTGGATAGACAAATTTTATGATATGGGTTCGTTATATACATGTTTAGAGATCAGATATATTTAATTGTACGCCCCAACACCACTATAATTTAAGAGTAATTTCAATTTTTGTCAAGATGTGTAAATGCGCATTGTTAGACAGTTCATTGCACAAGAGTGCGCATTTGAACGCTTATGAGTACGCATTACATTTTATGAAAAAATATTTGTTTCTAAGGTGAAAATAAATGGGAATAAGTGACTACAGACTACACATAAAACGGGAGACCTATTTCTTCGTACTCTAGGGGTCTTGAAAAGACGAGAAAACGTAAAAATAGAAAGTCGGTCGACGGACTCGATTACAACACGCTCAGGAAGTAAAAATAAAAAAAAAATCACCATAACCACCACCCCACAACTCGAGAAGCAGTACAAAGTAGTAGAGTTAAATAATTCATTACCGTATGATATGTATCTCCAAGACTATTAGACTACATATTGCAAGCAATGCGCACGCTTATACAATACCTCGCTGCGCACTCTTGTACATTTATACATAACCTAATGTTTTCAAAGTTAAAAGCTTTTGATGGACAGAAAGTGTAAAACTGTTAGTGTATAACGACACCTTAAAAGTTACAACTAATGAAAATTATTACTGTAAAATAAAAGAACTGGTACGTACCTTACAAAAAACTAAAACTATGAGCGGTAAAAATTACATCCACACAACGTGTGAACATAAAATCGTCAGTACGACCAAACTATAAACTATATTCAGGTCACTTTTGCACCTTTATCTCAGGTTTAACATTAAATTCTGAATGGTATAACTTCATCTTACCCAGATGGCACTAATAAGCAGAAATCATCAGTGCGTACTCTTATACATATGCGCACTCTTGTACACATTTACCCTAATTGTATTGCTGTCTTGAATATTTGCATGTATATTATTTAAAGTAATTGTTTCATGATTTATTTGTAGCTTTATTTTTACAAGAGAACGACCTTAACATGCTGAGAAAATAATAATTACGTATTATTGTGTATTTTTTGTACTGCAATGTTAACCAATACGCGTATAATTGTACTTTTAGGGATTTATACATATATTATACATACAGGGTGCTCTAGTAATAATTACTTGATTAATTTAGAATTGTTTTTATACATCCTAAATGTTCGTTTGTTAGCGGCTTTATGCAAATTTTATAACAAAATAGTGAAACATCCTGTACATTCGTAAAAAATTTTAGATCGTGTACTCAAAGCGCGTTTCGTAATAATTATATTCCGTCACCCTGTGTATGCAGCCAATTATCGTTGTTTAATTTTTACTTTTAAGTGAAGTTAAGTATTATTTGTTTTATTCCAATATTTCAATAATTATTGCTATTAAAACTTTACTATCCTATAGGTTTTATCTACTATTTTATTTATAACTTATAGGTGAAACATCCTGTATATTCGAAAATTATTTCAAACTGCATACTTAACATAATGAGTAATCCTTCCGTAATAGAGTTGTTGAATCACCCTGTATAAGTAGTTAATCATCTCTAACAATTTTGATCTGTTATCATTTGTAGATTGGTGTCTAATTTACAAGTAACTGTTAGAAAAAATAGTAACATTTTTTAATGACTTTAATTTGTGATAATGAATACAGTTAAAGGTCATTAAAAGTGTCTCAGATTTAAAGTTATTTTCTTTTGTAGAATTTGATTAGGTATCTGGGAATCAAGTCTTACAATGGCAATGTTTGCTGTTGTTTCTTGTGAAGCTATTGAATCTACAGTCTGTTTCGTTTGTGGAAGGGATTTGCATTTAGATAAATTTTAATCATATCAAGACGTTTTCTGAATAACTTGAAAAATTAGTAATGTTGACGTAATTGAATTTTTGAATCACCCTGTATATGTAATTAATTATTTTTGTTTATTTTTTTTATTTGACAACGTAATGGAGAAATTTCTCCTACAGCTTTAAATAATACTTTTAATTCTGTTATCATTTGCACATTTGTGTATAATTTACATGTAATTATTTTTAACAAATTTGTACAATTTTTAATGACATTAATTTGTGTTAATTAAGATAGTTAAAAGTCATTAAAAATGTATTAAATTTAAAGTTAGTTTCTTTAGTAGAATTTGATTAGGTATCTGGGAGTCAAGTCGTATAATGAAAACGTTTGTTGTTATTTCTAGTGCAAGAATTGAATCTACAGTTTGTTTCGTTTGTAGAAGGTATTTATATTTAGATAAATTTTAATCAGTTCTGTAGCTGATGACGAAATGCTGCAACAAAAACAAATTGTAAAACAACTATATACAAACAAGTGTATAAAAATAGAAAGATTTTTTATTTGGGAAATTAATTGGCTGAACAAAATTTTGTGTCAGCTGTATAGTTTAAAAAAAGTTTACATTTTGTATAATTACTTAAGGATTTAAATGCCTGTATTTTAACCATATATTCGTAATGATTAGTAATAAAATTCTAGTATTCTAAACAAATTATCTACATTTTTACATATAACCTATAAGTGAAACATCCTATACATTCGAAAATTATTTCAGATTGTATATTTAAAATACGTCTTATGACGCTTTCTGAATAATTTAGAAAACGAGGAGTCTTGTCGTAAATGAATTGTTGAATCATCCTGTATATGTATTTAATCATTCTTCTTTATTTTTTTTTTTTTCATTTGACAATGTTATGGGGAAATTTCTTCTCCAGTTCTAAATAATATAATTTTGATTGTGTTATCATTTGTAGATTTGTGTCTAATGTACAAGTAATTAATTATTAAAAAAAAAAACACAATTTTTAATGACATTAATTTGTGTTAATTAGGACAGTTAAAGGTCATTAAAAATGTCTGAAATTTAACGTTAGTTTCTTTAGTAGAATTTGATTAAATATCAGGGAATCAAGTCGTGCAATGACAAAGTTTGCTGTTATTTCTGGTGAAACTATTGAATCTACAGTTAGTTTCGTTTGTAGAAGTCATTTACATTTAGATACATTTTAATCACTTTAAAACAAATTATTAAAATAAATATAGTAACTAACGCAAACACGTAGGTAATTAAAAAAATATATCAAAATATTTTTTTAACAGCAGTTAAAATCGGAAAAATTAGCACATCAATTAATCACACAAAAGGAAATTAAAGAAAAAAAGTTTCGTTACAATGGAACAGAAATTCTGCAAAAATATGCTCATAATTGCTCTAAATTTTAACAATAATTTTTCTTTTAATTCTAACTCTGTGTTACATAAGTGTAGCATAATTTAATGACAATAATACTGAAAATAAAATAATCTCCGTACATCTAAAAATATTTTCGGTTTATCTTACAATTACGAGCTTGGTCTTGCTGAACAATTTGTTCATATTTTTATACACTCCGTCTTATTAAAATTTAACACAAGATGTAATTTTATCATCAAACTTTTGTTTTTGTTTTCTTTGTTAGGTTTCAACTATACATTAAAAAATTATTTTAGTGAGAGTACGAATTAAAAAAAAATAAAACATTAAAAAAACATTATACAAAATTACAAAATTATCTTGAAAAGTCCAGAAGTAATGTAATTCGTTATTTCGGAAACCTGTATGTACTTTAGTCATAAAATTAAACATAATTTTAACCGAATTTAGTCACAAAAACGGACGTAAAATACGACTCATCTTGTTTTTTCTTGAGAAACATTTTTTAAAAGTTTATACAGCGAAATAATACAGCGTGTTCGAAGAAGTAATAATTTTGAAGGAAATATTTCAATCATAACTTAATTAAAATGTCGCATTTTGTCACAGAACCAACGTAATTTTGTTAAAATATATTTTGCATATTTGTCAAACGTCTTATAGGAAAAAACTTCTTTTTAAAAATATGTTGAAGTCTCTTTTATAACGAAATGTAAAGGTGTGCATTATATTGTGATCATAATTAAAAGACATAGCGCCATCTATGTGAAGTAAACGGAACAGGAACTAAACAAATAATACTTATTATAAATTTACTTAATTGCATATATATAATTAATTAAAAATAAAAATAAACACACGTCACAGAGTATAATTTCGCCGCGCTTCTAGAAATACGAAATAAAACACCGACACACTAATAATTTTTATCATTTTTATTATTTTTAGTAAGTGAACAAAAGTGAAAATAATTCAGAATCTTCGCACTAATTTATCAAATATTTAGAAAAATTATAAACACGGTAAAAACGTCGGGGAAAATTTTCGTGACTTATTAAATGTGGGAATTAACGTCAGTTAAAATTCGCTAATTACGCTAAAATTTTTACAAACAATTAAAACAATTACACTAATTTTCTTTGGCGCTTTAGAAACTTGGAAAGTACACACGGAGTCTCAGATCATAAAATAATAAAACTCGGATGTAATTTCTGCAATAATTTCAGGTGAGTGTTTTTCCACAAAACTGTTTTCAACTTTATTGCAAACGCCGGC